CTGATTTCAATGATATAAAGTTCGATAGGTTTACTTATCTCTAACAGTTTTCGAGAAAAAAAATTATATCTGTTTTTGTCGTAAGGACCAATGTGTTAGAAAAGGATTTTATATGTGTAAGGAGAATGAGGAAGAACTCTGTCTAACACATTGTTTCTTATGACCGAAACAGATATAATTTTTTTTCTCGAAAACTGTCGGAGATAAACCTATCGAACTTTATATCATTGAAATCAGCAAAATCAGAGCTATCCAATGAGCTATTAATATATAGGGTGCTTCATTTGAAAATATCGAAATTTGGTCAATATCTCGGAATCGGAGCGATATAGAAAAAAACCGAGTCCGCCACTGGATTGTGTTCAAAAAAGTGTCTCCATAATGTTTTTACAGAAATAAAAAAAATTGATAAATAAAAAACTTATAGCCATTTTTCATAATAGGGGAAAATCGAAAATCGCCCTGTATTAATGGTACCATTGAAGATATCGCGATACGGTTTTTGACAATCGTCGTGTCTTGAAAATCGATCCCATGACATCTAAGCCCGGTATTCATAGTGCCTACTTGAGTGCTGAGGATTCCTTAAAGGTTACCTTGGCAGTAAATTGTCTTTCAGAGTCAAAATTGTCAAGGCGTCCTTATCGCCGCTTATGCGTATTTTGGCACATTTCCTTTCTTGACTTGAGGAATGTCCAGAGGTCCCTTGAGACTGGTTTTCTAACCTATTTCTATAAAAAAATTTCATGTGATTGGTGACAGTACGTGAACTGTAGGTATTTCATTGATGTGCAAAGTTTATTATTAGTATTGTAATGAGTATGGATGGGCTGGAAAATATGTTTGAAGAGATAAATGTCGCTGATGATAACCGCGTATGTGGCTAAATTCAGCTGGTGTAGGCACCGTGGTGGAATGGTAGAAAAAGCAGTGTTAAATCAAACAGGGATTAGCATCCATTAGTGAGTCGATAAATCACCGCATTCGTGGCATTGCCACATTTTGGGGAATTTAGCCACACGCGGGTTGTGCTGCGGAGGCCAAGAAGGTACAGGGTTGTTCCGTATATTTAGACAAAATATAGTTCGCTAATGAAGCAAGATAGAAAAAAAATATAAATACAAAGTAAATAGCGCTAGATAACTTTTTACATATATACATGGTGCACGCAAAAGATGTCGCAGACAGTATTTTTAACGAGAACCGCTAGATAACTTTTTACATATATACATGGTGCACGCAAAAGATGTCGCAGACAGTATTTTTTTCTAAATGGAACATCCTGTATATTTTTGGCTAGAATGATAGATTGTTTTCTTCTGATTTCAAATATTTGTTGATATTTGATTCAGCTGTTCTTACGCTATTTAAGTTTTAAAATGCATTAACATTAGATCTGTTCCGGGTTCCTTATATCAATGGTGAGCTATTCGAGGCAAACATATACAGGGTGTTCTATTTATACAAGTTGTGTCTGTCACATCTTCAACGTGCACCCTGTATATATAAAAGCTAAATTATTTAGCTGTTCTCGTAAATCCCTATTCACTTTGTATTTACATTTTTTTCCTATCTTGCTTCAAAGCGAGCTATATGCGCTGTCTAAATATACGGAACAAACCTGTACATTCATCGAAACATGCAGAATCCATTGGAATTCTAAATTAAAGTAGTCCATCTCTCAAAGTAAAGTGGAAATTTAATTCCAAAAGAATACATAAAGTCTTCCTCCACAAAATATTTTGATAAAATAAAAGCGCCCTACATGTTTCGAGGCCAGAAGACCTCTTCATCAGGGGCAAGTTCGCTCAACTGTTACAAAGTATTTAAGGTCGCGCTAGACTTGGTATTCGACAGAGGAAAAGAAACAGACGGTTGAAACATTGAAAAGTTGGGACATTAAAAAAGACAAAGATAAAAAAAACATCAAAAAATTAATGGATCAATTGTATATTTATTTTTCTTAAATTTTTATTAATAATTGACTTTGCTACGTAATATTTTTATTTTGTCCATTATTATTCTTATATTGCGAAGCAACTTCATGGTTGTGGGTTATCTACAAAATGGTCAAGGAATTATAAATTTCATCTCAGGCAAGCTGTTTTCCTCCAATAATACGGCGTTTATTTTTTTTATTTTCAACTATGACTCTGTGCTGAGCTACCATCTGGACCAGAAATATTTTCTCAGTCTCGGTGTACTTGGTCGCCATAATTACTTGTGCATAAATTTTACAGACAAATCACTATTTCTACAGCTATCTGACCTTAATATTCGCATCAACCTAAGGCATCAACGACACACAGAACCAACAGCATTAACCATACGGCAAACATAAACAATGACCACTTATTGACAATAACAATAGACATTTCGTAAAAAGCGGTGTTGTCAGTTGAAAAACTTATGACAAGGCTTCCTTGAATAAGGATACTTTCACTCGCCTCTATGAAATGCCAAAGTCGCAAACCACGAAGGTGTCCTTATTCAAGGCGACCTTCAAGTCGCAAGGGGTCCTTAATTTGAGGTGTGACTGAGAATACGGGCCTAAGTCAATTTTCCTCTATCTGGTCGGGAAGTGTGTTTTTCCTGTTAAAACACTCCAAATTGCAGCACCCTATACACCAAAATTCTAAGAAGGTTTCCCGCTCGGGGGAACCCCCTACCTAATTTTTTACACCAAAAATAATTCTAAAATTTTGAAAAATGCTAATTCTCGAGAAATTCTAAAAATTCAAAAAAATGTCCAAAAATCCCAAAGATTGCGCAGTGCGCAGGCTCTTGAGCATGCGCAATAGGTGAAAATTCTAAATTATTTCTAAAAAATTCTAATTCAATTCTAAACAATACCAAAAAATTCTAAATAATTCTAGAAAATGCTAGAAAATACTAAAAAATGCTAAAAAATACTGATAATTCTAAGAAATTTTAAAAAATCAGTTTGTACACCAAAATTCTAAGGTGGTTTCCCCCTTGGATTTCTTGATACATTTTATAATAAAAATGCATCGTATTCCTTATAAATCAGAAAACAGCTAAAGTTTTTTTTATACACTCTAAATCTCCAATAAACAAAATGACTGAACATAAATTCTGCAATAAAAAGACAAGGGACGAAAACTAACAACACATACACTTCAAAAGTTTCAAGATCAGACACGACAATATTGAATTACGCTCGGAATTCCCTAATCAGAAATAAGATTATCATCAAGGTAATCCTCAAAAGAGTAGAATGCACCCTGAAGAAGGTACAATTTTTTAATTCTTCCAATTAATTTTCGCTCCTCAAGGTTTTTCCGAGGGTTTTTCACATCAGTAGGAAGAGCATTGAAAAATGTTATCCTGAAGTGATCTGAACCTCTTCAAGTTCTTTCGAATCGATGGAAGTTAGCTCCCAGTTGGTCATAATTTCTGGTTGCAAATGAGTGGACATCTGCATGAGTCAGGAAAAGTTCCTGACTTAGATAAGGTAGTTCAAAACACAGGGGAAAGTCAAAATCTGTGAGCTCCTAGAGCTGTCCCTACAGCAGTGTCGGTACTTCAAACCTATGCACTGACGTTGTGGTTTAAAAATTTGCTTGGCTTTTGGGGCATGAGCCAAGTTTAATATTGCCACAGAATATATAGATACCTTTATATTCTATGGTATTGCATATGACATATTCAAGCAGAAGCAGCCGAGCAGCCATGGTAGGCTGTATGCGAGGCTGTATGTAGAGTGAAAGTAGAAACATTCTTTCAAAGGTATCTTATCAGAAATGTAATTTTAGAAAGCTTGGCATTAAGGTTGTTCACGTGAGTTTCCCAAGTGAGTTCTGGGTCAAGATACACACCAAGAACTTTGACTGTCTCGTCACTAGGTAGCTCACATTCAGTGGTTCTTAATGTGAAATTAAGATTTTGAGTTTTGCTATTGTTGAGATGAGTTTGTCAACTAAAAACCATTTTTTTTTGGCTGTGTCCTATTATCTCTTTAATAAGGTGGTTGTGCCGTCAGCAGATAAGATAAGTAAATGATTCACAATATCACAGAAATTTGGGAAGTCGTTGATCTTCATGAGGAAGAGAAAGGGGCCCAACACAGAGCCATGAGGGGCGAGGGACGCCATGCTTGATGTTCCACCGCCTGCTCTAGCTGGTATTGAAGAGCACATACTGTTCTCTCTCCTCCATGTAGGATCTGAGAAAAGCTACACTGCTTGGATGGAAGTTGTAATGCTTAAATTTGTTAAAAAGGATGTCAAAAGAGATGCAGTCAAGAGCCTTTGTCATATGCAGGAAGGAAGCATAGGTATCACGCTTTACTTCAAAACCCTTTGCAACAAACTCTGTTAGTTGGTTGATTGTCATAGTTGTAGATTTTTTATTTCTTAAAGCAAACTGACTTTGGCTAAAAAGAATATTGCTATACATTTGATCTTTCCAAAGATCTTTCATTATTGATTCTAGAATTTTAGATATTATTGGTAAAAGCGAGATAGGAAAATGATTATTGTAGTCGTCAGAGCTACCTTTGCTTTTATAGATAGAAAATAGCTGGTTTGGATGCAATGATTGAATAAGTTTGTCAGTGGTTCCGTTAAAATGTCTTTCAGATGTTTTACTGGGGGTGACCTTTCTAAATTTAAAGACATTGCCCTCAAAACTGGTTGGCAAATATTCATTATAGGACTAATTGGCAAACTTTTTATGACCTCTTCAACGATGTTAAAAAAAAATTGTTGAAATCAAACCCTTTTGCATTCAAGTTATGAGATTCTGAGGAGCTGATCCTTGATTTTGCTTAGATGTTTTAGATATTTCTTGCCTGTAAGTGGTTGGAAAGACACTAACAGTTTTCAAAGAACTTAAATTGGAGGTGAGAATAATAACATGAATCTGATCTTATTTCCAACCATTGGATGTAGCTGGAAACTTTGGGGAATTCTAGAGTAGAGTTTTTGGAATTAGGAAATAAAGGATCTAGAGGATCCTTTCTTGCTTGGCCTACTTACAGATTGGCTAGTTATGTTCCCATAAATTACTTGTTCCAAAATTGCAGTTTTTCCAACTCCTTTCATTCCACATACAACAACTTTTGTAGTTTTTCCCATTTTTATTTTTTGTAATAACTTATATTGAATCAAGATATTTTTCTTTATATATTTTTCCAACATCAACAAAACATTGAAAACAAAACAAACAAACTTTGAGGTTATGAAAATCAGATCTTCATCGCTTGCTATTCACGAATGAGTATGCTTTTTTTTAAATGTTTTCTTGTTGAAATTTAAAATACTGGGTTTATTACAGATAGTGATACTACAAGTTCATCTAGGCAACATGATATCCATTTAGCCACAAATTGAAAGCCTGTTCAATATAGGACACACAGATTTAGGAAAAAGATATATGACACCATTCGAATATTATTTATTAAATGAAAAAATTAGAAATACATTTTAGACTTAATTCTACATCCTTTTTTGAGTGCTGATATATAAAACATTGTTGCCTCGAATAAAAGCGTCTCCGAACTTGTTTTTCAACTGTCCATTAACGTATTCTTCAGTTTGCTCCAAGGCGATGTTCATGTAGCCATCCAGACAGGCTAGCACCCCTAAAAACAAATTTATCGGCATAATGAAATACGTTAACTTTTTCAACTAGTCACAGTCACAATACAAATCTAATTTTTTGTTATTGAAATTAATAGACATAATAAAGTCAGGAAGATATAGGCTCGAGCTATACAAGAAGCTGAACAAAACAATAGGGTTTTATTTTTTGTTAAAAATGAAACTAGTAGGTAATAGTAGGGCCTGAAATTTCAAATATTATCATACCTCTATAATCAACGCCACTGTTTAGTTTCACCGCAACTGGTCGGGCATGAATTTGTTGTATAAAAGTGGAAAGGGCTTCTTTGCGACTCATTTTTTCTGATAATGATAATATGTGGAAATTTACGTTTAAAAACGATCGAGTTCCAAAGTAATCAAATTATTTCTAAGGTTATATTTACGTTTTATGTTTTGTGACGACTTTAGTTCTTTTCACGTGGCTCCGGTTTAACTAACCGGGTTACAAAACGGTTAGAGAAATGACATACCGTTTTCTACTGGTTTTAGCACCGTCATTTCGATCCCGAGTGGAAAGCAAGAACCGCGTGGACTGATTCATGACTGACATGCGTAATTCAATTTTTGTCACCTGTTTTTGTTGTTCATGTTGTTGTTAAACAACCAATTTCCAATCTAACTTATAAAACTGTAGCATTTTTATTTTTTCAAGTGAAAAAAAGTACAAAATTTATTATCAGCTATTTGCTAATCCTTGATGTTATCAGCTTGCAAGGATTCAGTTTTAGATTCTTGATCATGAATCAGCGTTGGTGTTCGATTTTCCTTTTTTATATATTATTTTGTAATCCTAATCCTATATTCTTCTATTTTAATTTGCAAACAAACAAATTTAGGGTTAAAGTCTCGGTTAAAGTTATTTGAACTGTCGTCATTACGAAAACGATCATGAAACCGTTCCAACTACCCGTTGTTTCTGTACCAAGATAAAACCGTGCAAGGTCAACGCATGCGCCGGCAATCGATCCTAACAGTTCCGAAACCGTTTCATGACGATACGAAAACGGGGGGTTGGAACGAACCTATTGTTAAGCCAGACATCTGGAACATAATATAACCTAACTTTCTTGGTTAATATCATTGAGGTAGGAATATTTATTTGATTCTTATCATTCTTGATTATTCGTGAAAAAAAAAACCAAAAACATTGGAATAAAGGATGAAATGATCCTTGAAGTCCTTGAAGATGACCTTATATTGCAGATCTAAGACATCATTGATTTTGAATTTCAACAACATTTCTACAATAGGCCAGGCCAGGCCAAATTTATATTCAGGACATGTACGACTTGAGTTTTATTAGAAGATTTCGATCAACAAAATCATTGAACTCAATGAACAAAGCCCACGATAATATCAATTTTGCAAATGATAGATCAGGCAGCATTTCTCTCAAATAAATTCGTTCTCAATTAACTGCCAGGCCCTATTTTTTTGAGTGGAAGATGCCTTGTCGATTTTTTTTTGTCTTCCAATCCAATACAGGATGTGCATTTGTTGGCAATTTAACGCATCAAATGCGTTTTTCCAGCATCTGCGAAATTCGGTACCCGTTTGACTTGAACTAGTTATCACAGATATTATTTCGGAACCTATTTTCCAAGAACACTTTCTTTCTTTTGAAATTGGAAATGAAACCAATGGAAACCATAATAGAATGAAAATGAAACCAATCCAAAACTGTTTGTCAAAACATTCAATTAAAACAAAACAAAATTGACGTTTTCCTTCATATTTTAATATTTTAGGGTGTTGCCAAATTTATTTGGGACTTAACAAAGCCTCATTCATTAATCGACAAACAGAATTTGAGCCGAGCTTAATATTTCAGCCTAGCTTAACTAAATGCAGCTTAAGCATGAAACGGAGAATATGGCCATAAGAGTGTGTATTCTCTTTGATGGATACCTACCACCTACCACTCGAATTTGAGCAGTATTTTGCGGTTTGTTAAACTGGAGCCACGTGAAAAGGGTTTTTGACTTTTTTTCTCTTCTACTCTGAATTCGGTGTTTTTTCCGGATTCGTGCACCGAAATTGCTGCTCTAGAACCGTCTGGGGTGTGCACGTTTATTTTAGAGCCGTTTCACACGGCAAAGTTTCTTCACGAAATTATTCACGAAATTATTGCCGAAATATTTCGTAAGTTTACTATTCTTGGTTTCGCTTTTTCCTGTTTGACACGGCAAATAAAAGTCTAGCAAAAGTTTCGTGAAAGTATTAGTCATACGCCGGCGCAGTTACGTTTTGCCATGAATAATATCAAATCATAACCTCATACTTTGATAAACCAAAAAAAATAAAACTTCCGTTTTCTTATTGTTGTTGAATCTTTGTACCCTCCTGCAGTTTCATAAAGTTGAATTTGTTTTTTCCTACCATAAATAAAGTTTGTTTTTTTTTTTTTAATTAGGCAATTCAAACACGTGACATTCAAGATGGCGTGGCGGCCACACATGGGCCAAAAAACACAAAAAAATATCTAGTTTCTGCCCGAATTAATAGTTTAGGTACCTAGCCAGGAATTACAGAAGCTCTGCAATACCAAGATACAAATGCAGGATCTGCAAATTTGACTTTTCGTATTACAGAAGCAGAATGCATTTGCAAGTCGTCTGCAAATTTGCGCATGGTGAAACGGTCCCGCAAATCCTTGCAATGATTTTGACAACTTTGACATTTAAAACTGGTAATTTAGTAGCGCCTGAACACTTTTTTCGAATAAATATGACGAAATTGCAGATTTTTTCTGTAATTTGCTCTTTTCTGCAAATGGAGCACATTTGCAAGTCGGCCATATAGGGGAGGGTGGGCCACCATGGGACGCGTTTACCATGAGACAGTCGCCATTATTTTTTAATAACGTGGGCTATTTATCTCCATTTCACAGTACATCAAGTATTAAGCATGTTAGTCTTATTTCTGTTGCCAGAGAAGCTGCACGTGCGCCCCTGAATTTTTTGCCGGTTTCGATTTGTTTTCGCCATAGTGAAATTTCTTTTGCTGTAAGTTCAGTACTTCATCAGTCGTTCCCAATATATTTTCATTTTGTTCTGAGGTTTCCAACACAACAGGTGGATATTAATTTCATTGTTTATGTATATTACGAGTCGATTTTTCCACGTTTTATCAAAATATCGCGGTTTGTAACTCAGACCTACCATGGGCTACAATGAGACACGAAGTTTGGGCCACCTTGAGACGTGTCTCAAATGTTGAGAAAAAATATTTTGTTCGAAACATGTCACGGGGACGCAAAAGAAAATCTCAAAAAGGCCTGTTTGGTGCCGAATCAATAAAATGGGCTGTCGAAGATGTGATTAAACATAAATTGAGCTTCTAAGGAATGCAGCAGAGAAAAACAACGTGAAACATCAAACATTTGCAAGATATGTTGAAAAAACACAAAATAATGAAGAAAAGTTATATTACCGCCCTCGTTACGATGTATTAATTTTGAATAAACCTTATTTTTCTCCTTTTTTCTAGGTTTTTATGTATGTCTCAAAGTGGCCCACCTCATGGGCTACCTTGAGACAAAATCAGATCTTTTTAGATTCCTCTATAAAATAATATAAATAACATTGTCTTAATAATTTATTCAAAAAATGTGTGCAATAAGATGAAGGATTATGAGGCTCACGAAACTGTAGCGAAAAAATTAAAATTACCAATTTTATCCCCAAAAAAGTGAAAACTGTCTCAACGTGGCCCACCCTTCCCTACTGTAATTGGGCCCCTAGTCAACAAATATTTTATTAAATAATGAAAATCAAAGTTGTGAGCAAAACTGTAAGCAAAATAATTTAAAATACGTATAAAAACATATTCAAAACAAACTTGTTTGGCCGCCACGTCACATTGAATTTTCCTTTTTGACAGATGGATTGAATTGCCTAATTTGCCCAGCTGTTTTTAGGTGCATTACTTTTTTCACCGATGAGCCAGTCTATCCTTATCTATTACATAGGAAATTCAATGACGCATTCATAGACTCCACGAAAAAGAAACTGCCTTTTAGTGTGCGCCGAAATTCACGCATATTTTTGGCCACGCCCACAAAAACTATAGAACATTTTCGAAAGTTTATTCGTGAAATATTTCGTAAGTTTTTCTTGTCGTGTAAAACAGGAAAAGTTGACTTACGAAATATTTCGGCAACAATTTCGTAAGTAATTTCGTGAAGAAACTTTGCCGTGTAAAACGGCTCGTGAAAATATTAGTCATACGCAGGCGCAGTTACGTTTTGCCACCAATTAGGCATTCCAGGTTAATGTCATAACCAATGAACTATAACCAAAAACTGGAATGCTAACACATAAGGACGAACGTCAAGCCTAGTGTGGCTGCTGCGGAGGGGATACATGTTTTTGTCGCACTCATTATGTTAAATGGCGAAAATTGCTTCCAACACGTATTCCAATTGATGAAACCTGTGAAGGGAAATATGACAAAACTTTCGAAAACGTCATATGTCAGCGAGCAACAGAAAAAAACAACATTCCCCTTTGTGGCATCTGTCTTACATGGCTTCATTTTTGTGGCAGATATGGCAATGTGTGCACATTCCAGTTTTTAGCTATAGTTCATTGGTCATAACCGATCCGCCATATTAGTTTGGGGGGCACACAAAAGCCAAACATAACCTGATTCCAAGACCTGATTCAATGTTAAACCAAGAATTTTCAATCTATTTAGTGAAGATGCCTTCTTTTTGCTGCATTGTTAGGTGCTCTAGTAGAGCGAAAAGAGATAAAAGAAAGGTTTTTCAGGATCCCAGCAGCATTAAGAGATCTAGGGAATCGTCTAAACAAGCTAAAAAAGGAACGACGAAATCTGTGGATTAAATGCCTCAAAAGGAGAGATTTAACTGAAACGTTTCTGAAAAATGCTCGTATTTGTTCAAAACATTTTGTTAATGGTAAGTATTATGACTGTCTTGTTGTTAAAATACAAAAACACATTTATATCGAAAAATTGGTTTGTTTCTACAAGTAATATTTACTTTTAATACCTTTTAGGTAGTCCAGCAGAACTTGAATAACCCTTTATACGCCTTCAACTGTTCAACTGCAAGCCTGTGTAGTAGCTGTGGGTGTGGGTCAAATATTCGGATAAATCCAAAATTGAAATCTCTGGCAACTCATTGATACTTAAAGTAAACTCATTAGGTAGAAGTTTATAAGGATCTATATTGGCAATTATTTGTATTTTTTGGTCATACCGACATTTCACATCACTAGCTAACGATGAATAATAGTCAATGTTAGCCATTCTACCACAAAAACAACTTAAAACTTATTGAAAGAATTTAAGAACGCAAAAATTCGGAAACACAATCTCAAAGAACGGTGTAAATACTGATCTATAGGCTTTGTTTGCCCCCCAGCGGACCTGTCAAAAGTCACGTGACCTGGAAAGCCTAATAATATCAAATCATAACCTCATACTTTGATAAACCAAAACAAATAAAACTTCCGTTTTCTAATTGTTGTTGAATCTTTGTACCCTCCTGCAGTTTCATACAGTTGAGTTTGTTTTTTCCTTCCATAAATAAAGTTTGTTTTTTTTTTTTTTTATTTGCCCAGCTGTTTTTGGGTGCATAATTTTTTTCACCGATGAGCAGTCTATCCTTATCTATTACATAGGAAATTCAATGACGTTTTCATCGGCTCCACGAAAAAGAAACTGCCTTTCAGTGTGCGCCGAAACTTACGCATATTTTTGGCCACGCCTACAAAAACTATAGAACATTTTCTAAAGTTTATTCGTGAAATATTTCGTAAGTTTTTCTTGTCATGTAAAACAGGAAAAGTTGACTTACGAAATATTTCGGCAACAATTTCGTAAGTAATTACGTGAAGAAACTTTGCCGTGTAAAACGGCTCTAACAAACAACACGTTCGGGAAACCTTCGAGCTGCTCTGAACTCTGAACTATTCCAGAGGCAGTAATTTTTGCTCCAAGTGCCGATATGATATGTTCAAAATCAAAGCGCACCGCAGAAAATTCTGGTATTCCATTGGGACTACAGAGCCTATTCATGTATTCATGTCTGAACAAGTGTCAGTGTAATCTGAGTGCAGTATTTTTTCAAATGGAAAAAGCCTTTAAGGGCCCCATACACTACGGTGAAACACGACGGTTTTCACTGCCGCGAGGAAACACGTCGTGTTTCATGTCGGCCTGTTTTCACCACACACTACGTGATTTTTTGGCAGTTTTTTCCGCGTTCGCGATGAACAAGTCGCAGCTTTTAGCAGTGGCGGCGGCAGCTGCGGTTCTTGTAAACAACAAAAAAAAGAAGCGTACAGTGTGGACTAAAGACTGGCTATTAAAAAGAAAATCGTTTTCTCATGTGAATTTGTTGCAAGAATTGAAACTGAATCCAAGCGATTGGTTTAATTATTTAAGGATGGATGAAGATACATATCTGGAATTATTGAAATTGGTAACTCCTCTAATAGAAAAAAAAGTACCCACTCAAGAGAACCAATTGGACCGCATGAAAGACTTAAGCTGGATTTATAACTTCCGTAACGTAGGCAGTAAGCAGTAAGAAGTAAGGACGTATGCCGTAAGAAGTATCAGTAAAAACATCTTGATTTATAGCTGAATTTGCTGTAACAGTAAAAACTTACGCGTGCGCAATATGATTTTATTTGAACCAATAGAAATCGGTGATAATATCTATTAATAGGCTTTCAATTTCACTCATTTTTAACCCAAAACTAATGTTGAGCACAATCACCAATGCCCAAAACAATTCCAGAACCTCACTTTATAAAACCAAAACAAAAACAATGCCAGCGGCCATTGCTTTCTGCGTTACTTTTTAACACGAGAACCGACGATTGCGTCCGAATCCGTATCAGTAACCGTAAGAAATAAAAATGAACCATTTCATACTGCTTACGGCATACTTGTTACTGAAAGACTATAACCAGGAGCATGTATTTGCTATAAGTTCATTTTTCTTACGTCTTGGATACTGCTTACTGCTTACGTTACGGAAGTTATAAATCCAGCTTTACCGCTACATTGCGGTACTTCAACGGGAAGAAGTTATGAAGACCTTAAATTTACAGCAGCTATTTCCGCACAGGCCTTAGGACGAGTTATTCCTGAAACATGTTCTGCAATATATGAAGTTTTAAGAAAAGAATATTTGAGGGTATGTATGGTGAGAAATATTTTTAATAATAAGTATTTATTAGTATTATGGACTAATGTTTCAGTTTTATTTAGGCTAGGTCTTAAAAGATTTGCCCAAAAAATAGCTAAAGCAAAGTTTGCTTGTGTATTAAGAGCACGAAGTGATACCGCTTGAGCGAGAGTTTAATGCGCGACGCGTAGCGGAACGCTTTTATCTCGCGAAGGCGACAATATCACTTTGCACTCGAATTACCATGATTTACAAAATTGAAATGATTTTCCATTAAAATTGCAAAAATCATAATTCAGAAAAATTAAATGTCAATAAATTCAACAACAAACACTGCGTACGTCACTGGAAAAAACACGTCCATTTGGACGGCTGAACCCACACACATCGGTTTTGGAACGAAATCTTGAACCGTCGTGCCAAAAATCAAGCTCGGACTGAATTTTAAACCGACGGTTTTCTACCACACACTTCGGTTTTGGCACGACGTGTTTCATCGTGGCGGTGAAAACCGTCGTGTTTCACCGTAGTGTATGGGGCCCTTTACACTAGTGCCAAGAATCAGCTGTTTTTTTCTGGGCTTTGTGACAACTGACAGTTACCTGTTGTTACCTTTTTTCTTTTGCTTTTTGTATTGTGGTGGTTAATTAAAAAATTAATTTAGCTTAACAAAACTTCATATTTCCATTATTGTAGTTCTTCCATAATGAAGACCCGTTATAATACCTTTGATATTGTCTGCATAGTTACAGAACTACAAAAGTAAGTAGCATACATATTTCCTTCATGTTTTTTACATTCCCATATAATTACATTTTTCATTTTAAATTTTTTATTACTTATAGGCTTGTTGGAATGAGAGTGAACAACATTTACGATATCGACAACAAGACATATTTAATTCGGTTCCAAAAACCCGAGGAAAAGCAAGTTTTGCTGCTGGAGTCCGGCAACCGAATTCACTTGACCAACTTTGAGTGGCCGAAAAATGTAGCTCCGTGTGGTTTTAGCATGAAGGTAAAACTATCAGCAGTTTAAAATTAGTATTTAACACAACAAGTGCTGAAAGTGACATTTTCCAAGTTAAAACTTAGACAATTCCCCTAGGAAGCCCAGGAGGAGGGGGAGACGAAAATTGCTTTCACTCCACACAATTAAAAGTTCTAGCTCCCCTCAAAATTTCCACCTTCTAGCTAGTCGGGAAGTAGTAGAAAAAAAAAAACGATTGTGCGAGAAAGTGCTACTTTGTGTATGCAAAACTGTGTGTAACGTACCTTTGTGTATGCAAAACTGTGTGTAAAGTAGGTACCTTTGTGTATGCAAAACTGTGTGTAAGGTACCTTCTTTGCGGTCACTTGTAGAAAAAAAATAATATAACATTTTGATCTGTGAAGGTATAATTTCTAATTTACAGTGATAAATACGTCTCTTAAGCTAGAAGAGCAAAATCAGCAGAATCGAAAATCAATACATGGAACATTAAAGGCTGATTAAAGGCTAATTAAATGCCCTAATGAGAAATTTTAGGCTCCTTGAATTTTCGCGAAAATGACTGTTCTGCTAGCTTTAACTTAAGCCAGCAGAACATGAGCGAAAAGTGGCTAAGACAACGAAAACTGCAATTCCACATGCACAGACATTAAAGGCTCTGAAAATACATCAATTCCAAATTTCAGGCTCATTTTTTTTTTAATAATAATAATAATAATGTTTATTTATTCACTTATAAAAATTTACATGGGTTTCAAAATAATACATATTTTTTAATTGTTCAAAACGGCACCTAGATGACCTAACATCTGTATGTGCGGGTGAAAACGTATAAAAACTACTAGATAATTTCAAGCAAATGTTTACCAACTAGTGATACATGCCTCAAATGCTAATATACAATATTCAAAAAAATATACTAAACAGTTCTAAATTTTCAACAATAAACATTCTACATTTTTTTCGAAATAAACTATTTTTTTCAATCGTCTTTATTTCTAGGGGAATAATATTATAAATTTTGGGTGCTAAATAATTGACAAATCTAAGATTAACATTTTTTTTGCTTATCGGTATTTGGATGTGTTTGTTCACCCTGTTTCGCGTTTCATATATATGATTCACATAATTTTTTAAGTTTTCATTTTAATGGATAAAGGAACAAATCTCTAACATGTATAATGTCCTGACATTCAATATTTCATGAGTATACAGTTGTGCAGTTGAATATCTTCTACCTTTCTTGTTTATAACTTTGAGAATATAGTTCTGAACAGTGTTTAACTGTTTTAGAGAATTCCGATATAGACCACCCCATACAACTATACCATAATGTATTATTGATTCAACAATGGCTTTATAAACTGAAGTTAAAAGTTGTTTGTTTAAAATTTCTCTTAGCACATAAAATTTGTGAATTAATTTCCTCAAATTATTTGTAAGGTAAAGAACATGATAATCCCATTTCAAATGTTTGTCAATAACAATGCCAAGATATTTTGTGTATGATGTTTCTCTAATATTGTCATCAAAATTTTCAATATGTATATAAGTAAAATCAGGACGATAGGCTTCAGTAGGAGAGAATGCTATATAATTTGTTTTTTGCACGTTAAGCGTCAATTTAAAATTGTCAAGCCAGTCTTTTACCTTGGATAGCCCAGCCATTGTTTTTTCTTTTACATTGTGCCATGTCTTAGCTGAGAATACTGCTGCTGTATTGTCTGCGTATGAAATCAGGGAGCCATTATCAAATCAAATCAAATCAAATCAAATCAAAATATGCTTTATTGTAAAAAGAGCAAAATATCTTGTCTACAAAGCAGAAAAATACAATAATAAGAAAAATACAATAAACACAATAATAAAATGTCAAAATTTAAATTCACAAACAACCGTAAGAGTAATAACAGTACAATAATAAAATAATAACTACAATATTAAAATGTCAAAAATTAAAATAACAAACAGCCGTAAGAATAGATACAATTATTATAACTAAAAACAAAAATACATATGAAAACAGAACATTAAAATGAAAGTACTTGACAAAATCAATAGCTGCAAACCTCACTACAAACAATCATCGTAATACTACAAACAATCATCGTAATACTCCTCCAGGCTGTAATAAGACCTTGCCATCAATACACTCTTCACCCTCTTCCTGAACCGCGAGTATGGCAATTGTCTATATTCAGTGCCCAAATGGTTATACATCTTGAGGCCTTCATATATAATGGATTTTTTTGTAAGTGTCATTCTGGGAATAGGGAGACGTAGATTTTGGTTTGCATTTAATCTTGTGTTATGTAAATGGTCAGGGACCTCAAAACACGACTTTTTGTGAATCAGACACACTGTTTCAAGAATAAATAAAGACACTACTGTCAATATCCCCTGTGTAATAAACAGTGGTCTGCAATGTTCCCTCACTCCCACCCGACACATAAATCGTATTGCTTTTTTCTGCAGAACAAATATTGAATTAAACAATTGTTGATTACAAAAGCCCCAAAATGTTATACCGTATCGAAGGTGCGATTCAAAAAGTGAAAAATACACCATCCTTGCCGTCGCGGTACCCAATTCGTTGGAAACTACTCTAATAGCAAAGCAACCAGAGGCCAGCCTAGAGCTCAATGATGAAATGTGTCTATCAAATTTAAGTTTGTTGTCTATGAGAAGGCCCAAGAACTTAGTGACTGGTTCATTTTCGATTTGTTGATCATTTATCATTAAGTCATTAAAATTAAAACCAAAAGTAAGTATACTAGTTTTAGCGATATTTAAGCTGAGAGAATTAGCATCACACCAACTTTTGATTTTTGGTAAATCCGTAGTTATCATCTCCCTGAGATTATCGCCTGTTTCCGCATGCCATAGAAGTGTGGTGTCGTCCGCGAAGAGAGTGAACTTACCCCGAATATTCACCATCGCAAGGTCATTAATATATACCAAGAAAAGAACAGGTCCCAACACCGATCCCTGCGGTACACCATAGTGACATACCAAGGGAGCCGACTCATCATCGCCAACTTTCACCACCTGAACCCTCTCGGAGAGATATGTCTTGAACCACAGATTCGCCTTTCCGAGCCAAAGCTGTTTAGCAAGAAGAGCCAATCATAAATTTATACAGCAACATAAGATATATTGCTCAAAGAAGTGTGAGCTTGAATCTATAGATCTGGATAAAATCAAGGCCTCTTCCAACGGAAAGGACGAAATAATTCTTGAACTAAAAGAACAAATAAAGAAGTGTCAAAAACCACTATTAGCAGAAATTTCTAAATTGGAAAACGAATTACAAAAACAAGACGTAGACCTAAAAATATATGAACAAGGTAAACAGCTAGAAGAATTAAATGAAGAAATATCTGACCTACATCAACAAAAAGAGGTGCTAGAGAAGAAAATGTCTAATGCTAAGGAGGAGTGCTGCAAATTTAAAGAAAAAGTGGAAGAACTGAAACTACTAAACACGGAAATGCTAACCTCTATCAAGGTACTAGAGTCTGAAAAACAAATGTACAGAGAGGAAATATTTAGTTTAGAAAAACAAGTTTCACATATGGTTGGGGAAAAGCCGAAGTATGGGGGCAATCAAAAGAAGAGGGTTGATACCCCAAAAAATCAAATTCTTATTTTGGGTGATGGTTTGGCCCAGAACTTTGGGAGTATTTTGGACCGATACCTCAACTCAAACTTTGTCATCTCCGCATTGGTTAAACCGAATGCACTGCTTGATGAAGTAGTGTGCAGTATTATACAATTAACTAGAACTTTTACGAAGAATGATTATGTGGTAGTAATGGGAGGAATGGCGAATCTACTGAATGGCATCAGAGTCAAAGAAGAATCTATTCAGAAACTAGAAGAAGTCTGTATTAATACAAATTTGGTAATTTTTTCTGTCCCACTGTGGGAAAATAATTTGCTTCTAAATAAATTTATTAATGAACACAATAAAATGATCTATCAAAGGGTAGGCATAAGGAATTCTGTGAATTTTTTGCACTTCAATGCAATTGTTACTTCCTGGTATTTTGTATTTAAAAATGGTTTGCATATTAAATATACTGGGAAAGTGATGATAGCAAAAGCGTTAAAAAACATAATTTATAGGAATATAGATCATACTGTAACTTTAGGATATAGAAACGATAGTGGCACTTTGAAGGACAGTTATGATAAGGACCAGGAAGAAAATATTAGGGAGAATGATTTTTTATGACTGACTCAATTATTTTAATAAATGCGCAAAGTCTTGTCTCCAAATTTGAAGAAATAGATCATTTTGTGTTAAGAAAGAAGCCACTTATTGTATGCTTAACAGAGACAAGATTAACAGTTGAAATTGAAAATTTTGAGATTGATATTTTAGGTTATCATATTGTTAGAGTTGATAGTGAAAGTCGCCACACAGGAGGTGTAGTAGTTTACTTGAGGGAAAACATTAATATTTTGGAAACAAAAAGGTATCAGTTTCAAAAAAATTACTGGTTTTTGGTAGTAAAAATTTCATTTAACAATAGGATTTATGTTCTAGGAAATCTGTATCATTCCCCTAGTGCTAGTGACGCAGATTTTTTGAATTTTTTCGAGCAATGGTGTGTTGGGATAACAGACACGAACTGTAATATAATAATAATGGGAGACTTTAATATTAACTGGTTGGCAAGCTCTACATATCCAAATAAACTTAAAAAAATTGTAAGCGATGCAGGCTTGTATCAGGTGGTGGGGACGGTGACACATCCTAGTATTAATGACAATGATGGAAGCATTATTGATTTGGTCTTAACAAACAGAAGGCATATTTTGCAATGTAAGGTTATTGAAACTCCTCGAATAAGTGATCATTTCATTGTAAGTACAAACATAGGACAATCAGCTGGCTTTAACCAGGATAGTTTAACTATTCAAACCCGCGGTAGGATAGATTATAATGCGATAAATAATAAATTATCCAATATTGTATGGGATTATCGATGTACTGATATTGATATTAAACATTGTTTGTT